AATCGCTAATCATTTGAAATAAATTGAATTAAACTTCTTCCTCTTACATGACACCAAATAAAGTCCACAGAAGAAAGATTTAAATGTTAAAAAAATGAAACTAAACAAGCACTGGGGAAAAAATACTTAAATATTTATATGATCTTGGAGTGGGGAAGTCTTTCTACAAATAACAACAAATACAGAAATCAGAAAAAGAGAAGACTAACCTTGATTATATATACTTTTTAATAATTTCAGGTCAAAAAATAAAAGGTCAGTGGCAGATTATAAAAATATTAAAAACACATGGAGTCAATATCCCTGAGACAGAGACTGGTCTTACAAATCAGTAACAAGAACCTCCAGAAAACACGAAGCACAGGACAGAAAAGCCAGCCCCAAATAAGAAACATCGATGGCCAGTGAGTATACGGTGGGCATTCAGTCTCACTAGCAATTAAACAAATACAAATTAGCCAATTACATGATGCCATTTTCCCCTATTGATTTGACAAAGATTTTTTTTTTTTTTTTGGTCCAGGCGGAAAAGGCATTCGTGGTCGGTAGAAGATACACAAACAATGTGTAGAACAATTCCGCAGTATGTGTCAGAACCTTTGACTCAGCAAGTCTATTTCTGGAAGGTTAATCTAAGGAAATCATAATATATGCAAGTATTTAGTTGCAAAATGTCATTACTGCTATTGATGTGGGAAACAGAAGCAGAAGAAAAATTATTAAATTTCCTTACTTACTGACAAGCCCTTAAAACAGGGCAGAGTGACTCTCCTCTAGGGACTCAACTACCCCCACCTTAAGACTTTGCTAAGGGCAAAGGGCAATCCTAGCCTGACTGACCCCCTACCCCCAACCAGGATCCTGTAAGTCTACTTGAACAATTCCGTCCTTTGGAAACTTTATCTCTAAACCTCCAAGATAGTGTTGACAATCATTCCCAAGCATATGGCCCACTGATAGACATCTAAAGGGTCTCATGAGAAGGTATTATTACTGGTAATGAATAACCTTTTCCCCAAACAATAGCTAGCCCCTCAAGGTCCTAGAAACCTTGCTTCCAAAATTCCTTAGAGACTTAACGCCATCCCTAATCCCCTCCCCAATTTACAAGTATATAAAAGGCCACTCCTCACATTCCCTGGGCAGCAGCTCTTCCTGCCCACGGGGTCCTGTCCCCGTGCTTTAGTAAACCACCATTTTGCACCAAAGATGTTTCAAGAATTCTTTCTTGGTCATCGGCTCCGGACCTCACCCCACCGAACCTCACCTATGTTCTAGAACTTCATCACTATCACAGCAAAACACAAAAACAGAGAGAACAATGCCCACATGGACTGAGAAGTAGATAAATGAGTACTTTCACAGGATGAAATTCCTGGCATTTTTAGTCTGAGAAAGTCCTGAAAAGTATTTAATTTTTTAAAAAGATTTTATTTTTTTTAAGTAATTTCTACACCCAATGTGGGGCTTGAACCCATGACCCCGAGATCAAGAGTCAGATTCTCCACCAACCCAACCAGCAAGGCGCCCCCCAAAATATTCATTATTGAAAGATATGGTACATTGCTAAAGTTTTTTTTTAAGTTTATTTTTTTATCATTATTATTTTAAGTAGGCTCCACACCTAGCACGGAGCCCAACACGGGGCTTGAACTCATGACCCTGAGATCAAGACCTGAGCTGAGATCAAGAGTCACACGTTTAACTGACTGAGCTATCCAGGTGCCCCTTAAAGGCATTATTTTAAATTCATTTGAAGTTAAAACAAAGTCAAGTTTAATATTAAATCAGTGCCCCTTGAAACTACACAGTCTGTAGAGAGATGAGAAAGGAACTCCCTCAGTGGTCACCTCTGGATAGTGCACTCGGAATTGTTGTGTTCCGGATTATCTTTTTAACATTGTTTGTCTACAACTGACATACTGTTCTGATTTCAAAAAATAAAAAGAAAGGAGGGGGCGCCTGGGTGGCTCAGTGGGTTGAGGCCTCTGCCTTCAGCTCAGGTCATGATCCCAGGGTTCTGGGATCGAGCCCTGCATCGGGCTCTCTGCTCGCCGGGGAGCCTGCTTCCTTTCCTCTCTCTCTGCCTGCCTCTCTGCCTGCTTGTGATCTCTGTCTGTCAAATAAATAAATAAAATCTTCAAAAAAAAAAAAAAAAGAAAGAAAGAAAGAGGAAAACTGTATTTTAAATTAAAAGATAAAGGAAGCTGGGGTCTTCGGGTAGACTTGTTGGTTGTTATGTTACTTAGTTGTATTAGGAGGAGCTAGACACAGTCCGCACGCTGTGGTTAGCTGTGCGTGTCCGAACATACGCGCTGTGTTCCATCAGCAGGCTTACCTGCCTACTTCTGCTTTGCTTGGGCGGCTTTTAAAGTCAAGTCACACGCTAAACACGATGAAGAGAGCCGCTCCGGAAATGTGCGGAGTGCCGGGAGCCAGCTTAGGCAGGCTTTCACAGAACGCTCTGAAAAATTAAAATTTTATTGCAAATAATCCACAAAGTGGGTTTTCTTTAGGTGGTTTACGAGAATTGCCTGTCAGTGCCTGGTTTATCCACGGCGACTTAACACAGTTAATGGACCGTATACAAATATTTACAGGCCCAGGGAGAGATTTACTGGTGGACTTGGCCTTCCTTCTAGGTTACCAGTGACCTCCTGCCAACCCCTCAAATACACAGAGAAGCTAGAGAGATTCTGCCAGTGATTTAGGAGAGCGAAAGCGTGGGGCTGGGAAGGGTGCGACATTCCCTAGGTGAATCGGAGGGTGGGGTCTTAAATCAGAAGGCAAGGGCCCCAAATAAAGTAAGGGGTACGTGGGCAAGCTACAAATTAAGAGCCTGAGCTTTAAAAACGTGATGGCATTTCTTGGACCTGGCTGACCGCTTCCTGCCCCTCTGCCCGTTGCTGTCCCCTTAGATCCCCACACCCCCTGGAGCTGTGAGTACATCTGGAATCGGGCAGCTGACTCCCAAGACTGGCCACCATCGCCTCTCACCTGCACCGTTCCAGTAACCTCCAGGCGCGTCTTTCTAGAACACGTTCTCACTGTGTTGGCAGAGGGACTTTTTTAAAATGTCATTTTTGTGCTGGAATCCTTCCAACGGTTTTCTGTAGCATGTGGGGAAACCCCTTAACTTCTCGCCGTGGTCCACAAGGTCTATGACGGCCCTGCCTCCGCCTCCCAGTCCTGCCAATTATTCTTAGCCACAAGGGCCTTCTTTCTATTTCCGGGACTCCAAACTCATCCTGCACTTTTGTTTGCTTTGGGTGAAACGTCTCCTACCCCACTTCCATCCCATTCCTATTAATTAGATTTTCAAACGGTAAGAAATTCAAAATATGCTTCTAGGGCACGCGCTGTGTGACCAGCCGTCGGAGGACTCGGCTACGGGTTTCCCACCCTTTTCAAGAGAGGACACGTGCTGTGAGCCCACCGTGGTCACAGCCGCATGCTCGCACACGTGCGCGAAGGCATTCCTGTGTGCACATCAGTAAGTCTGAACGCTGAAGAGACAGACACCTCTGTCTCCGGGGAGGAACTCGCCTCCCCTGTCTTCCCTGGGTTATCTTTTTCCTCTCTCATTGGCTCGGGAACTGTGGGCCAACACCAGGGCTGGGGGCTTCACTCTTTGGAGCCCAGGGGCCCCTCTGATGAAGGCTACGGATATTTCCCACCAAAAAACGGGCACACGCACACGCACACGTACACGTGTGCACACATTCCTAACCATTACAGGCAGCCCCACTTACGAGTCATTAAAAGATTCCCTGTTAGGGCACTTCCCCGGACAAACATTTTTGAAATTTCCTAGATTACAGCGGATCTCACACAAGTGGGTTTTAAGTGCTTCCCTTCTCGGGGAGGCATTCCTGGACCCTGACAGAGATTAGGACTCTGCCAAGCCTTATCAGCAGCAGCCTGGGCCACAATTCCTCAGGCGGGCTCTTTCCTGGAAGATTATCACAGGGATTAATCTCGTCTACTTTTTGTTGTCCGTTTCAGAGGTTGACGCTTCTGGACTCGTTCCCAGATTTTAGGGCTGTTTTCGGTTTGAAACCTGCTGCTTCTCGAACACTGACTCTACCCTCTGCTTAGGGAAGAGTTCTGAAAGCGGGGAGGGGCCTGGGGCCCTTCTCCCAGCTAAATGGGAGGGTGCCAAGGGAAGGAAGAAGCGGGGAGGAGGTGGAAAGAAGGAAGTCGGTGTGGAGGCCATAGAGAAAGTGGCGTCACGTCGGGGCCAGTCAGGACTGGACAGGGAGCCCGCTTGCCCACCGGGGCCCGAGGCTCAGGATTGCCCCCAAGCCCCTAAGGCTTCCTTCAGCCCCCTCTCCCACGGAGGCTTGCGCTTTGGTTGGTTACTTGCTTTTCAACAGAGTCAACAGAGTCTGGGGCAGGCTGTCCCCATCTGGGCGTCGCCGACGTTTGGGGACAGATGCGTCTTTGTCGTGGACCCGTCCTGGGTAGGGGGCTGATCCGCAGCACCTCTGGCCTCTGTGCACTGGATGTCGGTGACCCCTCCCCCCAGCAACAGCTACGCGCGTGTGCCCCGAGTCGGGACAAAACAGCCCCTGGCTGAGAACCACTCAGCCGAGGCAAGTTTAAGCCGACAGACTTGGGTTCCAACTCTCGCTCCATCCCTCACAAGCCGATGACCTCGAGAAAACCCACTATTTATTTGAGCCTGTTGTCTTGTCAGCATGTAATATTTCTCTCAAAAAGTTGTTTTGGGAATGAAATGCGTGCAAAGCATATTGGTTCACAATAGGTTCTCAACAAACATTTGTTCCCTCCCAACTCCAGCCTCACTGACTTCACAAATATTTACTGAGTACTTGGGCTGTGTGCAAAGGATAAACACGCCGCGATTCTTGTCCTCGAGGAGCTAACCACCTCACAGAGAGGAACACGCCAGCCTCTGGAACAGAACACACGCATTCACAGAGACACTTACAAATCTTATAACTGTGACCCTCTTTTTCTCTTTCTTTTTTCCCTTATTAGTTCATCTCTCTCCATGAGCTCGCTGTCCTGCGTCCTGATAGAAGGGGCCCCTGAGTCAGGTCTTGAAAAACAGGAGAACCACGCGGGCTTAGAAACAGCAAGGCCAAGGCCAATGGTGCGAGTATCTCCAGAAACGGTGTTATCCTGTGGGCGAGAGGGAGAGCGAGTGGGAGAGACCGGTGCAACGAGGAGGAAGCGAAGAGATTCGGACTCTGGCAGGTCAGGCAGAGTCGCCCAGGGGCTGCTCTCAGGATGGGGACAGGATCAGCCCCGTCAGGCACGCCCGCCCAGGCGGCAGTGGGAGGACAATGGAGAGGAGGAGTGAAGGGCGGGAGAGCTGGGGAACAAGACCGGTCAGGAGCCACTGATTCCAGAGGAGCGCTGATGAGGGCCTGAGCTAGAGAAGCCGCAAGGACGATGGCAAGATGCCAGGCAGCTCAGGGACATCAGGATGTAGAACTGACAGGAGCTGGTGACGGATGAGGTGGGAGGCGGGCCGCAAGTGAAGGAGGAGGAACGGAGGTGATTATGCGATTCTAGCCTAGGCAATGAGGTGGCTTCCGATGGCATTTAGAAAGGACGGGCACCCGGAAACGGCTCCTTTTCTCTTTCACAGCTGCCCGCACCGACTCCGAGGGGAGGAGCGCACGCCCTCCGCTCCCGCTGACGGACCGCTGCACAACTCAATTTGGCAAACCTGGGAGTGCGTGTGGCCGGCCCACGCCCAGCAGCCCGGTGACAAGTTGGCTCTGTCCGTCTTTGCCTGGTTCTGGGCGGGCGCAGGGAAATGGTGTCAATGGATAATCGTCGCTGTCCGCGCGGAGTTCACAGTCCAGACGGCGCAGGCACACAGAGGCTGAGCACGGCCCAGGGCGCCCCATGCTGCGTGCCGAGGAGCTGCCCACGGAAACGTTCCATGAAGGGCATCGGCCTCAAAGCAGGAGCTGGGGAGAGAGACGAGGGCACCAGAAGAGTGTTCTAGCCCCAGTACCGGCACCTGCCAAGGCGTGAAGGAGTGGCAGAACTCAGCAGGGCTGTGGGCAGGGGGCGTGAAGATGAGGCTGACACACAGGCGAGAGCCCGACGGGACAGGTCTGGAAGGGCTAAGGGTCATCAAAAGCAGAGCGGACCCCGAGTGACGGGCTGCAGGCACAAAGAGAAAGCTTTCAGGGAAAGGCCCCGGCGCTTGCCCAGTACCGGAGGAAAGCAGGGAAGGTAGCAAATGTCTCAGTGCCTGGAGCTGAAAGGTAAACTGAGGCCCATGAAACACTTTCAGGGCTTGAGTAAAAAGTTACTCCAGCCGGGCAGGTCGGACTGGAAGGAGGTGAGGCCTGCTCCCACCACCAGCCAGAGCCCGGGGAGAGGCAGACCCGAAGCAAGGACGGCCTCCGGCTGGCTGTGTCTTGCACGGTGGCAGCATCCGGGAAAGCCCATGGAAAAGCCGGGACTGGGACTGGCTGTTCTTCAGTTCTGACTTCTTCACCTTGAGCCACTGGCAGGCTGAGGGCTGGGTGTGCTCCGCTGGGCCGCTGGGGAGTCAGACCCGCCTGCAGCCCAATGGCCTCCTTGTGTGATCACCACGAGCGCACCCAGCTCTGTGCCAACCTTGCCAGACTCCGTTAGGGAAGCGCTTCCAACTACGAGAGAGGGGCTCTGCTCTAGCCATCGTCACAGGGGACTACCGTCCCCTTCCCGCTGTGTCCTCTGCTAGACGCAGTGAGTTCCTTGAGGCCAGGACTCTGGTCGTCCTTGTACCCCCAGCCTCACCGAGGGACCCCCCCAGCCTCGCCAAGGGACCCCCCAGCCTCGCCGAGGGACCCCCCAGCCTCGCCGATGGCTGGGCCCAATCGTCTCGTACGTGTGGACGAATGAATGAGTGGATGAATGATCTGTCAGGCAAACTTTCCTGAACGTCCCGCCTTCTACAAACCAGTTGGTCATCTCACTGCATCTAGATGCCAAGGGCAGCCCAAAGGAGTGAATTTGGCTCCAGAAGATCTGGGTTCTGCTACTGCCTCATGAAAATGTGGACCTCGGGCAAAGCGCATACGTTCTAACCTGAGAATCTAGGGTTCTCATCCATGAAGATGGGCTTTTTTTTTTTTTTTAAGATTTTATCTATTTATTTGACAGAGAGGGAGATCACAAGCAGGCAGAGAGGCAGGCAGAGGTGGGTGGGAAGCAGGCTCCCCGCTGAGCAGAGAGCCGGATGCGGGGCTCGATCCCAGGACCCTGGGATCATGACCTGAGCTGAAGGCAGAGGCTTTAATCCCCTGAGCCACGCAGGCGCCCCATGAAGATGGGCTTTTTGAAAAACCCTGGGAGTCTCAAAATAATGTGTGCCAACACGTCATAACACTGCTCAAATGTAAGGTGTATTTAGTATACGTTATCCTCTTCTTTACAAACAAATCTGTACTTCAAAGTCAGAAAAAACATATTGAACTCAGTTACTGTATTACAGGCCAGTAAAAATACTACGGTTAACTGTGTTTTTCCACCAGCACCCACACTGTTCTGCTGGAAACCGCAGCTGGACTCTGGCTGTTCCCTGTTTGCTCCAATCACTTGCACTCACCTTGCTGTACCTCGAACGTGCCACGCTGGCTCCTACCCCAGGCCTCTGCCCCGCTGTTCACTCTTCCCAGATAATGGGAAGGTCGTGTCCGCACTTCCTTCAGGCCTCGGCTGGGAAGCTGCCTCACGGGGCCTTCCCTGAGCCCTCTGTGGCAAGCGGCTCTACCCTCTCCTCCCCGCTGTGGCTCTCATCTTCCTTAGCCTGTCCTCCTTTCCTGGATAGCAATCATCACGTTTTTGCTGCCTCTTGGCCTCCCCTGAAAACGTCAGCCCCACGGAGAGCATGCCTCCCTTACAACACCCAGAACGGAGCTCAGCACATGAAGATACTTGGGGCCTCGTGCCACGTGGTTTGCCAAATGAATGACATTGGGCAAAGAAATGAGGTCTTTCGCTGTCATCGCCTGTCATCATGTGCGATTAAAAAGGACTTGCAAATAAAACAGGAAAATAGAAAACAGGGTTAGATGAGATCCAGTCTCGCCATGAACAAGCTGTTCGGCCTTGGAAAGTCGTTGTTTCTGAGTGTCAGCGTTCTTACCCATAAAACAGGAGCAGGGACACCCTCCACCTGCCCGCATCGCAGATCACAGGGCTGCTGTGGCCTCAGTGGGCTCTCGCAGAGCATTTAACAGGATGTGTGTCTGTCTTTACTGTTAACTCTTCAAACTCGTCTGTTATAAGACTTGGCGCAGGCCTGGATCTCTATGTAATTGCCTAAAAATAGAGAACAAATGTTAAAGCTTCCCTTTGACAAATGAACTGAGCTTCAAATATTCAGGCTCTAGATTATTATTATAGTCACTGTGTCATTTCATTTCATACAGCAGACAAAGCAAATCAGCAGTGGGTCTGAGCCACTAGAAAGATTGTGCTAGTCTGGGGTTTCGTTCAGGATAAGGAACACAAACGCCTGTTTTTACTAAATGGATGGTTCTCCTCCATTGTGCTGAAAAAGTGCTTATGCTGTTTGGAAGCTTCTGACGCCGGCAGAAGACACGTGCTCCCACCGACACTCTACCCTTGAAGGAGCCCTTGACATGATGGAAAATGACATGCTGCCTCAGGGCCACCAGCCAAACCCCAGCTTAATTGGCTTAAAACCAGCAGGAACCAGACATCTGAACACTCTGCAGGGGCATTTTCACAGGTAACTACTCTCTTTTCAAAGAACCAGATCAAGATGAGAAGGAACAAAGTTAGAGTAGTGGGTAGTTTAAATGATTATTTAGTATAAACCCAGGTTCTTTTCCTCTATTCATTAGATTTGGGGGAGGGGGCCCCTGGGTGGCTCACTCGGTTGGGCATCTGCCTTCAGCTCAGGTCATGATCCCAGGGTCCTTGGATCAAGTCCTGCATCGGGCTCCCTGCTCAGTGGAGAGCCTGCCTCCCTCTTCCTCTGCCCCTCCCCATCTCATGCTCTCTCACTCTCTCTCAACCCCACTCTGACTCTATCTAAATAAATAAAATCTTAAAAAAAAAAAAAAAGATTCAGGGGGAAAGGCTTACGCCTAGACTCCAGGAGTAGCTCCTTCTTTAAATGCTTGTGAACAGAGAGTAAAGCTGGGGAGGCGATGGGAAATGGTTCTATGCCAGCAGCAGTATATTAACTCATTTAATCCTTGCAAACAACTCTCTGACGATTCTAGTATCATCCCCATTTCACAGACAGCTAGCCCGTCTAGATAAAAGCGGCTTGCCCACAGTGCGCACCGGAATTTGAACGAAGCCGTGTTCTCATGTGCCACGCTCAGTCATGAACCGTAAACAGATGACTACAGAACGGGCATCGTACACCGGACTCCAAGGGGAATCCGACAATGACCATTTACCTTTCGGAAAGTATGGTCACGGAATTCCCACAGCGGGAGCTCCACAGCTGGGCTAACGCGTGCTTTAGCAAATCCACTTCTTACACTGGGCTAGGACAAGAGTCACCAAGAAATGATACAATTTGGTGAGAAGATGTGGATGTGGGAGGGGATTATTGAAGGTCTGGAATTATCGAAAAGAAAAGTTTGGGAGTCCCACGAACTTCTGCACAAATGCAAGAGGACTGCCCCTCAAGCAGGCCTTGTATTCCAAGTGGTGATTACACAGGCCACCTTGTATTAAAATACAAGACGAGGAGACACGGAGTGCTCAGCTCTGTTCACTTTGCAGTGATCTGCATCTCCTGGGCCTGGGCACTTTTTTAATTACAAAAGAATGGAAGAAAACAAACACCAGAAAGACAGTCATGGCTGGAAAGCCGCTAGTGAACGATCACATACAAAGAGCCCGCAAGATAAGAACTTATGTGGGATATGAGACCAGATGCTACAAGAAAGGTCACTGTCCTCAACAATTACTGGTCTCACCTATTTTCACCTAATGACACCCTTGCAAAACCACCCACTCTTCTCTTCTAATGGCAGGTCCCAAAAGGTACCCATCCAAGAACTGCGGCCCGTGACAGCACTCTTACTCAGGTCCAGTTCATAGACCCTTATTCTCGAAGTCCTTTTTGGCCTGAACCAGTATGAAATATTCTACTTCTCCGAAGTTGTTTTTGTTTTTTTAGTGTGAAAGAACAATGTTGATAAATTACTCATCTTTTAAAACCACAATCATAAAATCAATCTCCTGTATTACTACTGCATGAGTGTGAGGGAGTCCCCAGCCTACATGGGTTATGTTAAAAAAATTTCTTTTAGGTAGCTCATTTAAAACTGAGAAAGCATTTCTTCCCTAGAAGTATTATAGTAATAAGGGAAATGGATCTGCTCACCGAAGCCTCATTTCCACACTCTCTCCCTCAATTTCCTGGTCTAGATTTATGACTACTTAGGCTGCTTCTTAAGCTTTCCAGCGCCTCCCACACAGGTCTCCATTTCCACCATGAATTTTTTTCAAGTGGGGTATTTTTAACCTGGGAAATGTCCTACCAACAATGTAATTTCGTATGGCTTAAAATCTCCTAATTTTCATTTTCACAACACAGATGACGCTCGATTACCTTAAATTCTGTATGAAAAATATCTTAAGGCAATCAGAAAGTTAAAAACAAAGAGGTATAAGAGAACATTAAAATGTCCCTAGTAGTTCGTGAACTGCAAACATCGAAAGCAAGATGCTATTTTGAAATCTGTAATGACTCAAGTTTAAAGATGGGTGAACTTTAATTTAATCGTGTATAAAACCAAATGGTAGTCTAATACCACTGAGACTAAGTGCTGAAAAACGAAGTAATAAAACAACTACATGAAACATGATTACAATTTAAATTCTTTGGACTCTTTTTCTAAGCCCCCACTTTTAATACAGAACGAACTCTCCCAGCCTAAGCCGGGTGGTATTGGTTAACATTTGACATCCAAAAGCTGTACTTTAGGAACGTTCCACGAGTTCTCACAGCTGTTGGGAAAGCTTTAAAAAAGAAGAAGTGGGGGTTAAAAAGACAGCTTCGGACTGCAGCACAGTATAACTGGTACGAATGCCGACTTGGACTTTAGGTCTCTAAGTCCATTCCTCTGTTCTTCTACAAAAACCTTTTAGCATCTGATAGTTTAACCAGATTTCCCATTTCCAACAAGTAACCTTTACTTCCCATCACGTCCCAGAGAACCGAGACTCCTGAGATTAGGACAGAGGCGGACCTCAACCGCTGAGTCCCCTTTATATATAAGGCAACCATTGGTTTCAATTCCCGCTGGAACAGGGTTTTATGCTCCAAACTGAATCTTCACCAGAGCGCATAGGATGCTCAAAAATGTGTCCCAAAGCTCTCTTCTGGTCCATTCAGGGCAATGACAATGTAGTAGAAGTGGCAGAGGAACTGGAGTCCTATCAGTCGTATTTGATTCTCTCCACCGGGGGTTCCTCCTTGTAATGGGAAATTATTTGAATCAGGATGGAACAGTTGATAAGGAGGAAGAACAAACCGGCTAACCAGATAAACAGAAACGTGTTCTTCCCCTGGAACTCTAGGACGTAGGCAGGCGCCAGCCACAAGGCCTGTCCTACAAACCACAGCATTAGGAGGGCCGCCGCCCGCTTCCGAGGGATCCTCACGAGCGGCATCACGAGGGGCAGCAGGCAGAGGTACCAGAGAAAATACTGGGAGGTGCAGACTTTGTTAAAAGTCACGAAAATGGCCGTGTGCAGGAAACAACAGAAGACGAGGTCCCTGTAGTAGGCGAAGGACACGGCCGAGAGCAACACGAACTGCGGCAGGAAGGCGGCGATGCCCAGGGAGGGGCTCCACGGGCTCTCGGCGGTCAGGTACAGCATGTAGAAGTAGGGCGAGAAGTTGTGCCGCGTGTCCCGCCGCGTCAGGTGGTACAGGTAGGTGTGCTCCACAAACTCCCAGCCGTATTTCCTGTAAAAGCCGGCGCCCAGGGCGGAAAACGTGAGCCCGGCCACCGCCACGAAGAGCAGCACGGCGCGGCTGCACAGCCTCCCGAGGAACTCGGACAGGCGCGCCCGGAAGGAGCAGCGGCGCGGGCGGGGGCCCGGGTGGCCGCCGCCGCCGCGCTCCGGGAGCAGGTGCAGGGCGATGGGGAGGACGTAGGTCACCGGGTACATCTTCATGTGCACCGCGACGCCGTAGGCCACTGCGGCGCACGCCACCTGCCTCCTCGCCAGCAGGTACAGCGCCGCCAGCACCAGCGCCGCCACCAGCGAGTCGGCGTTGCCGCGGCTGGACACCGCCATGGGCAGGGGGTTGAGAAGCCAGAAGACGCAGTAGCCGCAGGCGCGGCGCCGGCCCAGCCCCCGGAGGCGCAGCAGGCGGTAGAGGAGGAAGGCGGCGAGGAGGTCGCCGCTGATGAACAGAAACTTCCCGAAGAGCTCACACAGGTACACGTTGGGCGTGAGCAGCCAGCCCAGCAGCGGCGTGTAGCGGTAGGTGGCCCGCAGGTACGGGGAGCGCCCCTGCGTGACGAAGCGCGCGGCGTCCGTGAACACCTGGTAGTCCACGTCCGTGTAGCGCACGAGCAGCGTCCGGTCCTGGAAGACCCCGTAGAAAACCAGGGCCACCCGCGCGAGGAAGGCCACCCCGAAGACCCCGGCGGGCGGCACCCGCAGGCTCAGGAACCATTCCCCCCAGGGCTTGGTCGAGCCCATGACCGCCCGGCGCCTCAGCCGCTCGGCCCCGGCCCCAGCCCCGAGCTGCCCTCCGAGCCCCGACCCTCGCTCGGCGCCCGCGCCTCAGGCGGCCCGCGCATCTCCCACCCGCGCGCAGCCAACCGAAACGGCCGCGGGACTGTCGCTTCCGGCAGAGAGCCCCGCCCCCGCCCCGCTTCCGGGGGGAGGTGCCGCGCCGCGCCCTCAGTGGCCCGGCCAGGATTGCCTTCCTCCGGATTGGCTGTGTCGCCGCCGCTCCTTCCTCCGGCGGGGGCGGGACTTCCGGCTCTCGCGGGAGGCGTGGCCCACGGGCCTGTGGGGGTCCGCGGGTCTGGTCGCGGAGCGGGACGACGGTCCTCTTCGCGCGAGTGTCCTTCCCGCGCCGCGGCTCCGTCCCGCGGAGACGGAGCCAGAGACGGAGCGAGCTTCCAGCCGCGTCCCCCGGCCCGGGGGCCCGAGAGTGAGAGCGCTTGCCGGGCGTCCCACCGCCTTTCGCCGGTCGCCGGGGCTCGTGGGCCGGGCCGAGCGTGCAGGCTGCGCGCGTGCTCGGGTCGCAGCCCTGATTTGAAACTGCACGTCCGTGTCCAGACTCGAGGTGAGCGGGGCCGCTGTCTTGTCCGGCAGCCCGGGGTGGCGTGTGCGACGGGAGGCCGGGAAGGGGGCCCGGGCCTCGCCGCCGCCGACTGGGCTCTTCCTTGTGTCCCGGTTGCCTTCCCGTTCGCACAGCACCTGACCCTGCGGGCCTCAGCCCCGGTGTCACCTCCCGAAAGCTTCTGCTTTCATCCGCGTGCGACGTCGCTGCCTCCTCCACCGGGGGTGGACACGCGGGGGTGGCGGGGTTCCGAGCTCTGGAAGGTCATTCCCACAGAAGACCCTGCCTGCTGCCTGTCCTGTCCGGTGCCGCCCGCCATCCCAGTGCTCCGGGCCCCTCTGCTGGAGTGACCGTTCTTCATTACGTCATTTGTCACAGAGCCTTGTGACACCTGATTTTTTGTTTCTCTTTCCTCGTTTTCTCTTGGACACTCGAGGTCTTTGGGAACAGAGATGATCTCGTCTTTCCTGTACCTCTGTCTACGCAGCCGCCGGCGTACAGGAGGCCTTCCGTGCAAGTTGAATTGGTACGAGTCCCTCCAGAGTGGCATCCTGGGAGTGCTCCCGACTCCCAGTCCTTCCGTCCTCCCGTATCCCTCCCCCACCTCCAGTTCCGATGCGCCTACCCTTGCTTCCCTGAATTTCTCACCAAGGGCTCCTGCCCGTTAGGTCTTTGCCTTCTGCGGGCACGGGCTGCGCTTAGTCTGCAGAACTGTGAATGCCGGAATCCTTGTAAGTGATATTCATAGCCTTTTCAATGAGATTGTAGGGTTTTTGAGGTCAGGGATTATATCTTATCCTTAGTTTTTTTTCAGTTACTCATAATTTATTGCAGTCATAGGCACATTATAAATGTTCAGCAAGTACTGCCTGACTTCATTTCACAGATTGATCTGGCTTCCTAGGGGAAGCTCCCTTGACTAGAATAAAGACAGTAGGTGACTCCCTTCAGCCTCAACACGCAGCTCCCTGGACTGCCCCCGCCCCCCAAGCCCCCGCCCACACCTCATGCATCATACAATTGACACTTACCCTCTGGATGAACCGTGTGAATCGTATGTGTTCCATATTCATATTCCGGTATCTTTTTCCCCTTCCATAAGCCTTAGTGTAATTACAGGCCTCATGTTGGTAGTTACTTTTGCTTTTCCTTTTTTTAAAGATCTTGTTTATTTATTTGACAGAGAGAGGGAGTTCACGAGCAGACAGAGACAGAGGGGGAGGCAGGCTCCCTGCCCAGCAGAAAGCCCGGACATGGGGCTTGATCCCAGGACCCTGGGATCATGACCGGAGCTGAAGGCAGACACTCAATGACTGAGCCACCCCGGCCCCCCGGCAATTACTTTTAACTCTGTTTTTTTTGTTGTTGTTGTTGTTTTTTGTGTGTGTGTTTTCTTGGCAGCACAGTAGCTACACGTACGGTGGGAGCCCATCGCCATGCTGCTGGCGATGATTCCCAACGGCCAGTTCTGCTGAGGACTTGCCTGCAGTGTGTCAGGCGTTGTGCCAAATACCACGTAGGGAGGACACGCTGCCTGCTGCCTTCTCAGATGAAGAAATCAAGACTTACCGAGGTGAAGTAATTTTCCTAAGTCACATCATGCACTAACGGCAGAGCTGGAACACAAGAGCAGTTCTGCCTGCTGTGCGGCTAACCTGTAAACAAAATGTTGATGATGAATTTTGATTTCCTTCTCTGCGACCTTCTCATTTGATCTCTTGTCGGAATCTTTCTGATAGCCGCTCTCACTGTGACTCTGGCTCTGACTTTTCTCTCTGCCAATGATAGCCAAGTGAGGCCTAGTCCAGAGAGCAGCGATGTGGGAGGCGGGTGTCTGAGGATTAAGTAAGGGTCCTCTGATGGGTTGGTTTAGGTAATGTGGCAGAAAGCCTCAACCAAATGACCCTGTAGAGCTTACCTATAAAAGAGATGGGAGGCACCAAATTGGGCAGATAAGAGAACCAGAAACAGCTAATCAAACCTGACTTGGGTCACTGAAGTCAAAGGTGTGAGATAGAGGTAGTAGTTGTGGGACCGAAGAAGGGACTAGAGTCCAGGAAAATAACTTGGACAGGGAGGTCCGACTTCCTTACTGTTTCTAGACAGGATGGAAGTATTCCAGGCTTTAAGGAGCCCTCACTGAGCTCTTTGCACTGGGCTCAGGGATTCTATTTCTCTCCTCTTTCCAAAGAGCTGCAGGTTTTCAGATGGCTCGGTGCTCATTACCTCTTGAGCTATTACACACAGTCCTTCTAATTCCCCCTTTCACCGGCCGCCTCCAGGCTTCTGCCCCAGTAGATCCAGCTACACCTGGGTGTGGCTTGTCCCCAGCATCCTCACCGAGGGCCTTGACCTGGGTCACTGTACTGTTTTACTCTCCTCAGCTTTCCAGATCTACTCTTTCCTTTGTTGCCCTGTTCCAGGCAGCATCACACCATCTCCCCTGCCATCTAGCTCCCCATGAGAACAGGCCAGTGGGAGGCACTCGCTGAGACCCAGCTGAGTCCTGCTGCCTGAGACCACCGCTTCCCCTGGAGCTCAGCCCCCTCCCTTGGCTGTAACTCGCCCCACTTCCTGCCAAGTTTAAGACTGCTAAAGGCTTTCCGGCTGCAGGGAGGCCCTGGGAGCCTCACCATCTCTCCGCTCATTAGCCCTGCCCACACTCTTGTAAATAATCCCTTCATTAAATGCCATCCCTGTTAGCTCTTGGAGTGTACCCTCTGTTTTCTGCTGTAGTACCTGCTGATTCAGTCACTTTCCTTATTTTGTTTTTGTAGATCTTGCTTCTGTTTCCTGCTTTGTAGTTTCCTTGGAATTTATTCCTAATTCCTTTCATCCTCGGGGTCCTATACCTTAGTCCAGACCTTCAACAGCTCCGTTTAATAGTCCGTACTGACCGCGTCCACTACCCAAGGGTCTCTGGCGATTACCTTCGCCCCAAGCTTTTGAAAGTCTCTTAACTGGTTTAGTGTTTCCTGCCTCTCAATTCTCCTGCTCGGTTGATATTCATAAACAGTACTTTAATTAGATTCTCTCCTTCCTCAAATATCTTCAGTGGCTCCCAGCTGCCTATAGAAAAAAAAAAAATGACCATTTAGCCTCACATTCAGTCCCTCCATGGCCCTACCTTTTCAGTCTGTTCGCCTATAAAGCCCTCTCTTCTAGGGTTATGACCCGTCCTCACATAATACAGTCGTGCCTGCTGCCTCCAGTACTTCTGACGCTCTACCAGCCGCAGAGAATCCTTTCTCTCGCTTGCCTACACGCTGCTTGTGCTTTGATGCTGGCTTCTAACCTCAGCTCCTCAGACTCTCCCTAGACCTCAAATCTCTGTCAAATGATCTCTCTCCTGGCACGACAGTGAGCTTACTGTCTGTTCTCTCTCTCTCTCTCTCTCTCTCTGTGACAGTTAATTATGTCCTGCCTCATGAAATACGTTACCTAAATCTTTTACAGGTATTTAACAAATGTACGCGCTCCACTGCGTACTGGCTGTGTGAACTCGAGACACGTTCCTCCCCTCCCCCTTCCCTTGCTTCTGCGTCATCTACTGAGCAACGTCCGTGCAGGTGTCAGGCTCTGCTGGTGACCGAGCGCTGGCACGAGTCCCGTTCACGTGGCTCTTAAACGCGCGAGCGACACAGATATGCGTCCAGTAAATCCACAAGCACAGCTGCCGCTCTGGTAAGCGCCACGGAAGTGGGTCTGCGATGCAGCCACGGCTTTCAGCAGGCGCTTCGGTGTGAGACTGTGCGACGGGCGCGGGAAGAGTGAGCGAGGCTGGGGCTGGCGAGCGGTGAGGCGTGGCACAGGAGGCCGGCGGGTGAAAGCCCGTACCACGTGCATCCTGACTCCTGTTTCCTTCTTGGTTGAGTGGTACCTTCCACGGAACAGGAACTCAGCATTTGCTGATCTTTCTTGACTCTTAGGTCAAATGTGTTCTAACCAGACCTTGTAGATCGATACCTCGCCTGGCCTAATGCCTGTCCCTGGGAGGTATTGTCCAGAGGTGTCTCCTAGGTCAGTGTATCGGGCCCTTAGTGTGTGTGACTTGTTACTGTGTCTAGTTTTCCTCACAGGTTTGCAAGTTTCTTCAAAGTTTAAGGGACTGTGTATATCATATATCTTATATCTCAGATGTCTTGTGAACCAGCCCTCAACTAGTGTTTCCTAAATGTTGTAGTTAAGTCTCTGTTGATGATGGTAAGAGACCCCGTTTTCTCCCTCCGCCTCCCTCTGTGCTTCCATTTCTGGGGAGCAGGAGTCAGAGACTCTGGGATATGTTACCTCTTGTCGGAGAGGGCTCAGGACTGAATATGGGCCACCGGATCTTTTTCGGGGAAGTGATGGATCAGAGTAGAAGAGAAATCCATTTCTTCGAATGTTGGGGCACAATGCCCCACTGTGAAGCGAATAGTTCTGTAGAGCCTCAAGGATATGTAAGGACTGTCTGTACCCCAGCATGGAAGGGACTTTGGGCACATGACTCACTGGCTAAAAGGAGCGTTGCCCAGGACCCCAAACAACTTAACTTTCCTGG